ATTATTATTGAATATATATTATAAACAAATTGTTGTTATTTTATATGAAAACTGATTCCGGATTCTAATTGGTCTCAAATCACGGATTATTTGTTAAAATGAAAACTGATTTGTTTTTTATTGTAAAGAGTCTTTACTAAAGACAATACAACTCTTTTTTTAGTCACGAAATTATTTGCCAATCCATTAATGCTTTTAATCATTACTTAATTTGGTTTTTTAAATTATCATATTTTTTGTTTTCATTCGTCAGACTATTTTTACGCATTTTAATGTTTAATTCATTTGCTATTTTAGAGTCTATTTAAGATTATGTTTCATTGAATTTATTTTTATTTACATAATATTTGCCATTTATTTGATTGAAATTTTTTTGTTTAATTATGTGTTCATTTGACTAAATATAATCTCAACAAATTTGATACACATTTCATTTATTTATTATTATTTGTAATAACTTTTTAATATTTTTCATCTGTTTGTTCATTCCTTTTGCTAACATTTGCGAACATTTAAACAATAAATTTTGCGTTGAATTATAATTGTAATAATTGTTTGAATTAATTAAAGCACACAATAGACCGGTATATCTATACGTCCTTCCCTTTGATACGTGATTTCTATTGAAAACCGGAATATTGTTTGTGTTTTACGAAAAATATATTTTTATTAGAATTTTATTGGTTTATTGACTATTTGTAATTTAATTGGTGATAAATAGATGAGCGTTAACTCTAGTTAAATCACTCCCTGTGTCTCAGACGCACAGAAAATACTTAAAATCAATTAATTAAAAAAACAGATTTGTATTATAATTTATTATAGTTTTGTAACTATGATATGTATAAAACAATTCCTACCATCAAAGATGTAAATGTAAATTGTTATATAATCAGTAGAACTACAATCATTAATATATCGTACATTTAAAAAACATATTTCCATTCAAATGACAACATTTACATTAATAGTCTCCTATTGTATACAATTTGTAAACAAAGCAATTAATAATGTATTAAAAATTCAAATTTCAATTTGAAATCACAATACGTTTGTGAAATACAATCATAATTATAATAATTTATAATTTTATAAAGTGTTTATCGATAGAAGCCTTCGGTTTGCACTAAACTTCTAGGAATTCTATGGAAAGGCATTATAAGCATTATATTAACGATATTTGGGTCAAAGTTATAGAAAAATAACTTTTACTTTAATTTGTAAGGAAAATAATAATTGTCTGGATTTCTGGTTCGACTACTTTTTGCCGTTACATCGATGCAACAAAATTTGTGTCTCATATTCTCCTATCGTATCGTTTGAATCGTAAAACAAGAGCTTAATTCACAGATAAAGCACTTATTGCTTCTCCAGATTTGGTCATCGAAACTGTTCATCACTTTCTTGGAAGAGAGGGAAAACAGTGTTTCATTTATTTTGTGAAACTTTTTTTGTGCGAAAAACTTTTCGATAATAATTTTTTTTTCTGATTCATCGGCTATTGTTGGCAATCAATTGTTAAATACAATGAATGCGTTAATAATTTTAACCTTTTTATTGAGTGTTCTGTCGGTGGCGTTAAGTCAGCGGTTTCTATACGGCAGGGAATCTCCTTATCTGAACGGCCAGTTATATCGCACCCAAATGTATAAACCGCTTAAAGCCGTGGCTGTAGTCAGCGGTAAGACTGTGAACGGTGTCATCAATTTTGAGCAAATCGTAAGTTTATTTTTATAACTTTTATAACTTTATTTGCTCTTTAAATTAAAATTTTTAACAACAAAAAGTACATTATTACTACTGTATTCATATATAAATAGATTTGATTTAAATGCTTGTGTTTTAATTAATTTATCGAAATTGTGTCAAAACTAAAATAATAAAAATTGTGAAATGAGTTGAGAAATGTGGGAGAGTTTAGGAAATGTGTAACAAATTTGTAGTGAAATTAATCAACATGCAATTTATCGTAATTATGTATGTGTTACAAATCAGTTATAATTATCTAGTTGGAAATATTTAATTCAATGATACAAATGTCGCAAACAGGGCTACGATAGGGTGCGAGTGACAGGAAAACTGGTGGGTTTGGCGAAAGGGCCGCACGGTTTTCACGTCCACCAGTTCGGCGATCTGACCAACTCGTGCGTCAGTGCCGGCGGACACTTCAACCCACACAACAGAGAACACGGATCGCCCGACGACTTCAACCGACATGTGGGAGATTTGGGTAATATCTTCGCCGACGACAGCGGAGAGGCTGTGATCGACATTCAGGACTATTACCTGACGCTCAACAGCGGCCCCAACTCTATCGTTGGTCGCGCTGTTGTGGTCTGTATCTCATGTTTTTGTGTTGTTTTTTGAAAATATAGATCGCTTTTTGGCCTAAAAATAAACCTTTAATTGTTATTAAACTGTAGGTTCACGAGAATGTGGACGATTTGGGTCGTGGAGGTCACGAACAAAGCAAGACAACAGGCAATGCTGGCGGTCGACTGGCCTGTGGTATAATTGGATGGGCTAGTGATAAGCCTAAATAACGATTGGGCTAAACCTAAAATTACCTTTTTCACATAAGTACCCAAATGCAATATATTATATGAAGTGTTTTGTTTGTTCGAAATCTATATTTATAATCGAAAATAACATTAATTTGTCTGTAAATCCAAATCCTAACCTCAAAGAGGAATATAAGGTAAATATGATATACCCGTAAACATACCGTAATTATCACATTCCGTATATAACAATACATTTCATATAAAAAAGTACATTTTTGATTTTGATTTAAGTTATAATATGAATCTCTATTTAATTATAACTTTTATAATATAATTGTTCTAAATATAATTTAATAAAACATTACATATATAAATAAAGTTTGCGTTATAGTTATCATTTAAGGCATTGAATAAATATCATGAAAATTAATTATATTAATATCTGTTGTTCACAAACAAGTGTTTAATTTATAAGTAAATTTTTAATAAAAACTATTTTTACTTTAGTTGCTATCCTATGAATAGTATTTATGCGTTAATTAAACTAAAAATCTATTTAATTAATTATTAAAAATAATTTCCTTATTTTAACAATTTATTGTAGTTTTGTGTTAATTTTTCATGAAATATGTTTTAAGCATCATATGGTTATGCAATGAATACAATTATTATAAGTTAATACAAAATGGTATTAAATTTTATTAATCACGGCATTACAAACAAACAAAATGATCAATTAGTTTGCGGCATAGGTTTTAGCCATGGGTTCCGTGGCTACCGCTGCCTCCGTGACCACCTTTCAAACTGATGAGTTTGGCCAAAAGGGCGCCGATTATGTTAATCGCATTATTCACCACTTGTAAGAGGCCGGGGATTTGGGCGGTCAGAGTATTCAAGAGTGAGTTCACTCCCTTCAGACTTCCCAAACACTGGACAATAGTGACCACAGCGTTCAACAACTGGGCCAA